GGAGGTGATGCAAGTGACAGTTGGCAATGCAAATGATAGGTGGCAATGCAAGTGACAGGAGGCGATGCAAGTGACAGGTGGCAATGCAAGTCAGGGGAGGCAATGCAATTGACAGGTGGCCATGCAAGTGACAGGTGGCAATGCAAGTGACAGGTGGTGATACAAGTCAGGGGAGGCAATGCAATTGACAGGTGGCAATGCAAGTGACAGGTAGGAATGCAAGTGACAGGTGGCGATGCAAGTCAGGGCACGCAATGCAATTGACAGGTGGTGATGCAAGTCAGGGGACGCAATGCAATTGACAGGTGGCAATGCACGTGACAGGTGGCGATGCAAGTGACAGGTAGGAATGCAAGTGACAGGTGGCGATGCAAGTGACAGTTGGCAATGCAAATGATAGGTGGCAATGCAAGTGACAGGAGGCGATGCAAGTCAGGGGAGGCAATGCAATTGACAGGTGGCAATGCAAGTGACAGGTGGCAGTGCAAGTCAGGAGAGGCATAGCAAGTGACAGGTGGCGATGCAAGTCAGGAGTGGCGATGCAAGTGACAGGTGGCAATGCAAGTCAGGAGAGGCATAGCAATTGATAGGTGGCAATGCAAGTGACAGGTGGCAATGCAAGTCAGGAGAGGCATAGCAATTGACAGGTGGCAATACAAGTCAGGAGAGGCATAGCAAGTGACAGGTGGCGATGCAAGTCAGGAGTGGCGATGCAAGTGACAGGTGGCAATGCAAGTCAGGGGAGGCATAGCAATTGATAGGTGGCAATGCAAGTGACAGGTGGCAATGCAAGTCAGGAGAGGCATAGCAATTGACAGGTGGCAGTGCAAGTGACAGGTGGTGATGCAAGTCAGGAGTGGCGATGCAAGTGACAGGAGGTGATGCAAGTCAGGGGAGGCATAGCAATTGATAGGTGGCAATGCAAGTGACAGGTGGCAATGCAAGTCAGGGGAGGCATAGCAATTGATAGGTGGCAATGCAAGTGACAGGTGGTGATGCAAGTCAGGGGAGGCATAGCAATTGATAGGTGGCAATGCAAGTGACAGGTGGCAATGCAAGTCAGGAGAGGCATAGCAATTGACAGGTGGCAATACAAGTCAGGA